AGCCCAGGACTTGACACAAAATGTTTATTGAGTAACTTAATATATGTTAAATGAATACCTTAAGAGACAACTTAAGAATTGTATGAATTTAGTAATAATACTAGTTTATCACTCAAACCATTTAACTCACCCTATTTTTTTAAAGGTGAAAACCTTTATTTTTTTTTAATAACAAAGGAAATTTTTATTTATTTTTTATTTTATTTTATTTTTTTTACAAATAGTTTATTGTCAAGTTGGTTTCCATATAACACCCAGTGCTCATCCCCACAAGTGCTCCCCTCCGTACCTCCCCTCCCCCCACATCCATCAGTCCTCAGTTTTTGTCAGCATTCAAGAGTCTCTCATGGTTTGCCTCTCCCCCTTTCCCCCATCATTTCCTCCCTTCTTCTCCCCCGTGGTCCTCCGTTAAGTTCCTCCTAATCCTCCTATACATGCAAACATATGATATTTGTCCTTCTCTGCCTGACTTATTTCGCTCAGCATAACACCCTCAAGGTCCATCCATGTGGCTACACATGGCCAGATTTCATTGTTTCTCATTGCCATGTAGTATTCCATGGTATAGATAAACCACATCTTCTTGATCCATTCATCTGTTGATGGACACTTAGGCTCTTTCCATGTTTTTGCTATTGTGGAGAGTGCTGCTATGAACATTGGGGTCCATGTGCTCCTATGCATCAGCATTTCTGTATCCCTTGGGTAAATTCCTAGCAGTGCTATTGCTGGGTCCTAGGGGAGTTCTATTGTTAGTTTCCTGAGGAACCTCCACACTGTTTTCCAGAGGGGCTGTACCAGTTTACATTCCCACCAACAGTGTAGGAGGGTGCCCGTTTCTCCACATCCTCGCCAGCATCTAGAGTTCTCTGATTTGCTCATTTTAGCCACTCTGACTGGTGTGAGGTGGTATCTCAGTGTGGTTTTGATTTGTATTTCCCTGATGAGGAGGGATGCTGAGCATCGTTTCATGTGTCTGTTGGCCATCTGGATGTCCTCTTTGGAGAAGTGTCTGTTCATATCTTCTGCCCATTTCTTTACTGGGTTGTTTGTTTTTTGGGCGTGGAGTTTGGTGTTAACTCACCCTATTAAGAGATACTTTCCAAGTTGTTTTGATTTTACCTTTTTCAGATGAGGAAAAAAATATTTGGAGAACATCTGTGAAAGTACTACTGAAGACATGGATTTTATAGTTCATCACCCTTCACATTAGATTATGTGTGATATTTTCCTTTTAGAACTTAATATTAGGGAAAAGTTTGATTGTTCTAATGGATTTAAGGGTATGAAAATTGTATGGCCCATTGTTCCTTCCTTTTCCTAGGTTCCCTGGACAGCTGGAGCTCAATTTAATGCCTACTTGTATTTCCTATTGAGTGCTTTAGCACTTGTTAGGTCCTTTTTTGATATGTCTCCCTTTTTTATTTTCATAGCCTAAATCTTCTTAGAATAAGTGTGATATATGTTAGAGATGTCAGTGTTTATCCTCAGTCCTTATCTTCTCTTGTTCATTGAGCTTTGAACATTCTTGATGACTCTTTGAAGCTCTGCTTCCTTGCCCTTCACGATATTCTTTCAGTGAGTAAATATTGAGAGCTTACTAAGTGTCAGGCATCGTTGGGCCCTTTTCCTGACTCAGTCCCTCTCCCACTGCTGTTCTATAAGTGCACAGTCCTCTTCCCCACCCCCCGGGTTGTGTCATTCCTTCTGTGTGGTTCTCTTACTTGGTGTACTGTCCTTTGACTTAAGAACGATCCCTTACTTGGAACTCCTGGAGTCAGATTAATTCAGAACTTTGGATTTTAGGAAAGTCATAAATGGTTGCATCTGCCATATGTTATGTAAAATCCACCCCCCCATCCCAGAAGGCAGCACCCTCTAACCAAACATATTAATATTTCTGGGGTGAAGCATATGAGTATTTACAGTATTTAAGTGTTATAAAGACTATGAGGAGCCTTACTACAATTGTTACTGGATTTTGTTACCAAATGAGTTGAATCCAGAATTTAGGGAAAAGATTTTGGGTCTCAACACATTTTGGATTTTGAAATTTCAGATAAGGGATGGGGCGATCCTTTAAACTCTACTTTAAATATTTTAGGCAGGTTGTCTCTCAAATGTCTGTCTGATCCTACATTTCCAAATAACCTTCTGGACAACTTCACTAAAAGGTCCTATCAACTACTTAAATTTGTATTGGAGTGAACTTTTTGCCTCCTTGTTTACTGACCTCATCCATGCTTCTTACTCTTTTTAATTCCTAGTATAATCACTATGGAATCCATTCTGAACTTCTTATCTTCTGTCCTTCATCACCCCACCTGTTAGGATTTCTGTCTTCATTGGCTCTCTCCTTGGCCTTGTTGATTCTCAAACCAGGCTGGATGGATTAATCTATTCATACACTATGTTAGGCATTGAGAAATGCCAGTAAAACAGGTTTTTTAGCTACAGGTTTTTTCATCTATAAACACCTCTCCTTAGTGGGGAAGACTATCTAGAGCACTGGTTCAGTAAATGAGGGAACACTTGGCACAGTAGTTAATTTGCACCCATCAAGAATGAGATAGCTCTATAGGTCAACTGTCAATACATATTATAGGAGAAATGCATGTTGCAGAGCAGTATATTGAGGTCCTACATAGATACTTACGTAGTCGAAGTTCTGGAAAGCTATCTAGCAATCTATAGCACTGTTTCTGGAGAGACACTAGAAATTTTGCTTTCTGACTTTTGAAGTTTAAATATATGTGCAGTAGTCCCCTCCTTATCTATGGCTTCACTTTTCTATAGTTTCAATTACCTGTGGTCCAGAAGCAGATGACCCTCTTGATATGTCCTCAAGTCAATAGTAACTCAAGGCTGATCATAGTAACTATGTTATTCACTTCATTTTATCTCAGCATGTAAACATTTTATCATCTCACATCATCACAAGAAGGGTGAGTACAGCACAGCAGATAGTTTGAGAGACACGTAACCTTTATTATAGTATATTGTTATAATTATTCTAATTTATCATTAGCTATTGATAATCTCTTACTGTGCCTACTTTATAAGTTAAACTTTACCATTGGTAGGTATATAGGTAGGTATAAGAAAGAGCAGTACAGTTAGGGATGGTTCTATCTGACACACCCACTGGAGGTCTTGAAAATGTATTCCCCATGGATGAGTGGGGAACTACTGTATATGTATTTAATATATGTATTTACATTATATAGAATATGGTAATACAATTAAATATAATATAAATTATATATTAAATATATATTTATAATAGAGAACCATAACAAATTTATCTGAAAATAGGTTATCAGCAAGTTACTCGTGATCAGAGGTGTAAAGAAAGAAATATAATATGAAGTAACTAACTCTGTTTGCCTGTTAGGGAAGCTTGGAGAATGTTTTCCTTTCCAGACACTGCAATCAGAGGAAAGAGCAAGTTCAATGGCACCCAGGTCTTAAAGGGTCTAGTGTGTTCCAGAACAGCATGTCGGTCCTGGATGGATGGTAGTTTCAAGGGGAGAGTAGGATTCGAAACTCAGGTGAGACATGGTCAGATTGTGAAGAGCAACTACTAATTGGAAATGTGGACCTCAGATAGTCAGTCAGTGGGGAGCCTCTGGAGATTTTTTTTTTTAAATATACTTTTTCTTGTGGACAAATTTTAGATTTAGAGATGTTGTGAGATAGAGTTCTTGTCTAACACCTCACCCAGGGTCCGTCTCCCTTAATGCTACCTTATATTACCATGGTACCTATGTCAAAACTAAGAAACCAACCGTGGTATATATGACTATTAACTAAACTTGACTTTATTCACATTTCACCGGTTTTTCCTCGGAGGTCTTTTTCTGTCCCAGGAACCAATCCAGGCTTAGTCTTCTCTGCTCTTTCTCTTTTCTTGTTTAGCATGACCTCGACAGTTTTGAGGGGTACTAATCAGACAGGTTATAGAATATTCAACTTGGGTCTGATATTTTCTTGGGAATAGACTGGTGTTAAGGGTTTTTGAAAAAATACCTGAGTGGTGAAGAGCCTTTATCACATTAGAGGGCATGTGGTCTCTGCACGTCATTACTGGTGATATTAACCTTGATCACTTCATTAAAGTAGCATTGGCCAGGTTTCTCCACTGTAAGCTTCCCAGGAAGTTTTCCGTTTTCCAAACTTACCTGGTTTGTGAACTTTACAGTATGATTATGACTGTATTTAATGAAACCATATTGGTTGGGAGACCCAAGGAACCAGGAAATTGGAAGGCCAGTTACAGTTAGGGCTGTTGCAATAGTTCAAGTGAGAAATGACAATTGTCTGAACTTGCAGGGATAGTGGCAGTGAAAAGGACTGGAACTATTTAAGTTCTGAGCAATGGCGCGCCTTATGGTAGCTTTAAAGGAAACAGCGAGTCAATAACACAATGAGATACCACTTCACACCTATTACGATGGCTATAAAAAAAAATCAGATTATAATAAGTGTTGGTGAGGATGTGAAGAAACTAGAATCCTTAAACACTGCTGCTAGGAATGTAAAATGCTACGGCTGCTTTGGAAATATTTGGCAGTTCTTCAGAAATTTAAGCATATTTACCATTTGATGCAATAATTCCACTTATAGGTATATACCCAAAAGAAATAAATATGTACACACAGAAACTTACATATGAATGCTCATGATAGCATTATTCATTATATTCAAATGGTGGAAACCACCCAAATTCCCAAATGATGAATGGATAAAAAGAGGTATATCCATACAATAGTTCTGGTATATATGTATTTTTGGTTCTGATTCTCTGGAGAATCCAGATATAGGTACTCACAACTATAAAAGATGTAGAATTCTGTTTGCTTTTAATAAAATAAAATCATTATACAGTTGGCCCAGGGTTTCATTTGGTAGTTTGAAGTTCTAACCTTATAGTTATGAAATTCCAAGTCTGTGAATGAATACATGACTAAAAGAGTAAGAATGAGATGATCAACAGCAAGCACTATTTCAGCTTTTATTAATAAAACAGAAAACTAAACTCAAGGCAACTGCTTGGTCTGTGCATTTGATCTGACCACGTATACTGGAGAACTAATCCTTGATGAGGACTCAAGGGAGAGCTGTCAATATACAGATAGGTTCCGTCAAAAGTGCGATATTGCAACATCTAATAAAGTCAGGTAAATGAAATTAAAAAGAGAACAAATTAACTATTAAAAAATCACAGAAATCTCTTCCTCAAACATCAGGGACTTCTTTAGCAGTCTTCAGTGTGTTCATGAAGATCAATCATACTCCACAACTCCCAAAGGAAAAAACTGAGGGAATTCATGGGTGATTTTCACAGCTTCATTGTAAAGTCCAAGATCTGGAAAAAACATTTGAGCAAACATTTAACCTACAATGGAACGATGTAACATCATTTATTATCTAAAAGATTTCTATCTATTTCTCTTTTCTTTCCCTTTTAGAGGTCAACTTATTTTCACGATCTGTTTTCTAAAGCAGATAGGTATTGTCATATTTATTTACCTGTGGCTCTAAAAAATAAGACATAGGGTACAGGCAACTATCATTCTGATTTCCAATGTACAGGCACAGTTCTTGCCTGGCGTAAAGCATTCAATGCTTTCAATCCATATGTTAGAACAAAAAACCTAATGACATTATTTTTGTTTGCTATGTTTTTTAAGTTTCTCTTCCCACAATTATTGATTAACCTTCACTAAGCTTCCTATATATACAAGCATTACTTAATGGGATGCCTGGGTGGCTCAGTCAGTTAATCATCCAATTCTTGATTTCGGCTCAGGTCATAATCTCATGGTTTATGGGTCTGAGCTCTGAATTGGGCCTCACACTGTCCTGCTTGGGATTCTCTCTTACCCTCTCTCTCTGCCCCTCCCTCACTCACTTGCATGTGCGCATACACTCCCTCTCTCAAAACAACTAAACTTAAAAAAAAAGTGGGCCAAAATGTTCTCCTATTTTCCTCTGAAAGAAGGCAGGATTGAGACTCAAGACCAAGGCATTGCAAGTTAAGAATAAAATTGTTTTCCTCCTAATTACATGCAACTTCTAAATACCAGAATGCTTTATTTACCAAAAGGATGGTTATCTTCTTTAAACTGGACATATGATGCACACATAATGGTTGCCTTGGGTGTTACTCTTCCAATTACTTCCACAATTCCAGAGATTTCTTCATCAAGCTAACACAAAGAACAAATTGTCAACTTGGGGTTTCAAGTTGATAACTTGGAAAATTGCTACAGTTTACTAATCTTTCATTCTATGTAAGGTAATCATTTAAAATTTACCAACATAAAAACTGAATTGTAGTTTGTTAAAAATGTTTAAGCACTTAATATCAGCATGTCATAATCCTTTTACCTTTAGCAGTAACCTCAGTCCAAAGATCCAGTTAAAGTTGAAGACAAAATCACTTAAAGATACTGAGAATGTCCAGCTTTCTACAAGGAGTATTTGTTTAAAAGGACCTATTGAAAGGAACCTTCTATTTTCTATATCATGTGTAGTGTTCTGTATATACTAACAGCTTATGGATTTGTCTTCATAAAAAAACAAGAAAATTGAGTACAATAAACCTGAAACATAAACACAGGGGCATCTGGGTGACACAGTCAGTTATGCGACCACCTTCAGCTCAGGTCTTGATCTTGTGTGTTTGTGAGTTTGAGCCCTGGGCTCTGCATTGGGCTCTGTGGTGGCAGCTCAGAGCCTGAAGCCTGCTTCGGAATCTGTGTTTTCCTCTCTCTCTGCTCCTCCCTGCTCATGCTCAGTCTCTGTCTCTCTCTTTCAAAAGTAAACATTAAAAAAACAAACAAACCAAAAAAACGTAAAGGAGCACCTGGGTGGCTCAGTCGGCTAAGCGTCTGACTTTGGCTCATGTCATGATCCCCCAGTCTGTGGGTTCAATCAAGCCCTGCGTTCGGCTCTGTGCTGACAGCTGAGCCTGGACCCACTTCGGATTCTGTGTCTCCCTCTCTCTCTCTCTCTGTCCCTCCTCCACTGGTGCCCTGTCTCCCTCTCTTTCCAAAATAAATAAACATTAGGACAAAAAATTTAAAAAATGTACAAACAGTAAGTGATAACTAAAAGTACATGTAAATAAAAATAGAATTTTAAAATTGGGAAATTTTTGAGAAATGGAAAAGTGACTTAAAAGATTTTTAAAGTGATTTTACGGTCTTTCATGGGAATGGGAATGGTCATTCAGTTAAGGCGACATTATAAAAATTAAAAAATCATGAAGCCCAAAGAATCATTGATTAGAAATGTAAAGGTATTTATAATGTAAGAAGAGGACAAAAGTTTAATTTTAGAGCAGGGAAGTTTTATAAACTCATGCTTTATCCACCCACTCCAAGAATCAGAAACACCAGCAAGATATAAGAATTAACTGTAAGATACATAAAATTAATACTTAAACATACAGGCTCCATCAACTCAATAGTTCCATTTTTTCCTTCTCCATCTGAAAGAATAAACATTTTTCCAGTGGGATGAATCTAAAAAAGAAACACAGAATTACAAAAACAACCACATAAACAAAATCTTTAAAAACATTAAAATAAAAATATTAAAATTTTGATAAAAATCAGCAGACTGACCCAAACACACTTAGTCAATGCAAATCAATTACCTTTGAACGCTTTATTTTGTTCAAATTATCGTGTTACCATATCTGGTCAAAGGACACCTAGTTAAATTTAAATTTCAGATAAACAATATTTTTTAGTACAAATATGTCCTGTATTTTTATTTGCTAAATCTGGCAACCCTGCACTAACAAATTAAATAGGGTCCATACTATCTAAAACTGAGATCTACTAGCACCCATGCTTTAAACTGTATGTATCCCGTCTGAAGGTCTATTTTAAAAATTAAGTATGATGCCTGTGTCTGGCTGGCTCAGTCCATAGAGAGTGGCCACTCTTGATCTCAGGGTTGTGAGTTCCAGACCTACTTTGGGTGTATAGATTACTTAAAATCTTAAACAAACAAAAAAAAATTAAGCATGACGAAGGAGAGAACTGTGTCAGAAGTTCTGGGTTCTACTACTGTTAGATGTAAAGAGTGAAGTCAGATCTGGTTTGAATGCCAGCTATGCTACTTGCTGCGGCCTTAAGTGTTTTAACCATACACAACCCCTACCCAGTTTCCCTACCTGTGAAGTCCGAACACCACCTATTTCTCGAAGAGGATATGGGGGTGAAATGAACTACTAAGCCTTTATAGTAGTTTTCCTTCCCTCAGCTTTCTCGGTTCAGTGATTGGAAAACTTGGAGCCTGCTTTTCATCAGCAGGATGATGGCGATGCACTCTTAACACTGGTGTAAGAAAACATACTAGTATGGGATCTGGAAGGGACATAGATGTGCTATAAAGCACTGGAAGAATGTTTTATGGCAACGTGACTTAAACGAGAAAACGAGGTTTGAGAAGAGACAAAATTGCATGAGAAGGAAACTAGAAAAATAGAGAAGCTGTCAAGTCTAGCTAAATTAAAAGGTCAGGAGGTAGATATGTGAGTCAGGTCTGTAATTTTCTTTATGTAAATACAAAAAAAAAAAAAAAAACCAAACCCAAAAACCAGAGTGGAGAGCGCTAGAATCATAACGGAGCGCATACTAAAACGTCGCGATGCTGCTCCATGAAAGTGGCGCCAAAATGGGGCAGCAGTGGCTAAAAAGTGTGCCAACAGTCCCCTCGCGCAAAATGAAGCGATCAGAAGCGCAGTGATGTTCTACGGCCTGTCCTCCTTCACCCTCCCTCGCCACCCAGAGGCTGCTACCCTGGCGGTCACGGGGTCCTTCTCTCTGCTACCCCGCGAGGACCCCAGGGCGGCGAGCGCGCGCACCTTTTCCAACCTCCCTACGAAGCAGACAGGCTGGTCGATGAACCGAGCCAGCATGCTGGCGTTGACGCGCGACCTGGGCAACTCCATGACGTCCACCATGATTGCGGTGCGTGACCGGCGGCCGGCGGGAAAGAGACGACAGAAATTGTGCGCGCCGCGGCGCCTATCTCCAATCGGCGGACGCCGGCACCAATCGGCGGAGACCAGCCCTCTCCCTCCACCAATCAAACTCCAGCAGCGCACTAAAAGGCCCGAGCGCGGAAGACTGCTTCCGGAAGTGGGGATCGGCTGCTTAGGGACGTGCAGCGTCCCGGAAGTTGCCCGGGTCGTCCGCAGAGTGGGCAATGGAGGCGGGGCTTGGGTGGGGCGGGGCTTGAGGCTCCCTCCCGCGGTCTCGGGCCTCCCTACCGGACTTGACCCCGGAAGCTGGGTGTTGGGCTCCTGTGCGGTAGCGGCGGGGGACTGCGGCGCTAGCCTCAGGTACCTCTTCTCGCGGGAGGCGCCGCAACCTTACTGTTTCTCTTCTTCCCCCATCAACGGATGCAGAAGAGAGAGGCGGGACTCGGTGCCTGCCCCGCCGCGGCATTCTTGGCGCTGCGCAGCGACTCTTCGCCTTTCCCCGCCTCCCCTCTTCCCTGTTCTGCGTTGGAAGAGCGGGATTCTTGCCGAAATAGAGGGGTCGGGTGTTTCTTACACCTGCCCTCCTGGAGGTGGAAAGCGGGGTCGTCAGGGCTCTTCCATTGCCTTTGTCAGGCTCCTGCTGCTAGGTATCAGAGGGTCGGTGATTTAACCGCTTAAGCTGCGTCACTTACCGCTCTGTTTCCCACCTGTTAGAAGAAGAGTTGACCTGATGATCTCGACGACTCGACTGTTTGTAGCCCTTATAACCTGGCCACACTAAGGAGGTGCGAGTTTTCTCACCTCCTCCGTGTTAGCAACAAATTGAAGCTTTGGGGAATGGGTGGCGGTAAGGATCACTGAGCTCAGAAGAATTTAATTATCTGTTAGATCCTGAGCAGGTGCGCTTCTCCCTGAGACATAATTTCCTGGTCACAAAGTGAAAGGGTTAGGTAACATGACTGTTTTGCAAGATCCTAGCTAAGTTTTGTCCATGTGATTCACGGATTCTTCTTAACTCCCTGGTAATCTTCCCCCCATTGCTGTCCACGCACCAGGACGTTAGACGCGTCTAAGACAACATGTTTGTTTCAAGGAGATTCGGGGGTTGGGGAGATTCTTAAAACTGTAGCTGGCTCGTGTGAATATTGATTTCAGGGCTTTATCTGCTGGGGTCGGTACTGCCTTTCCCGGGATATTCTAGAATGAGCGCTCATCAAAATACCTGTCAACGCTGCTGCGAAAATTGGGGGCGGGGGGAGACAACAACTTTTTATTGGAATTTTATTATTTTTTGGAAACTGAGTCCATGAATTTGCCTAAAGATCATGAGTTGTCACCATTCAGATTCAGGTACTAGATGGGGTCTCCTACTTTACCTTAAGCAAAGCAGATTCTTTTTGAGATTTCATGTGGCAGTTTAAGATAGATGTACCATAATTAATTGATGACCTCCCTCAGTGTTTATTTAGCTGAATATATTTGTCTTTTAATTTCCCTGTCACCAAAACAAATTTAAAGGATTTCTTTAGCAGAGGCAGCGTGCATGTGGGTTGGTGTATGCAAGAATGGTGGTTGTACTAGTGCAAGTCAATAAAGTTTATATTTTTGCACAAAAGCTTGGCCTCTTTTGCACAGTGTTGTTTTGGAAAACAAGTTGATGTGTGTTCTAAAGGGCAGGGTACGCATGAATATCTTTAATAGCAGTTTTTTTTAAAAGCAGCCCTTAATATACCAGATGCTAATATCAGTGTTTTATTATAAATAAAAGACCGCTCTCACATACCAATGGCTTTTTTAAAAAAAAACTACAGAAAGATAAACAATAATTTAAAACAGCGTTTTGGATGTTTTTTGGGTCATTTAAATGTGTTCTGTAATACATAATGCACAGAGAAAAGTATATATAGCTGATATGTATAGTTTCCAGAGAAATGAAATGAACTCATTCAGCTTAAGAAATGGAATTTAGCCAGTTAGTTTGTGCTTCCTCAGTTATATCCCCCTCTAGAGGAGCCACAAATAAACACTATCTTGAAATTCGTGTTCAGCACTGTAAGCTTTTCTATGTAGTTTTACCATACATGTTGTCATTCTTAAATGGTATGTTTGATTTTGCTGGTTTTGCCCTTTCTATAAATGGAATCATATGATTTTTATTCTCTGACTGTTTCTTTTGGTTGTTTTTGAGATTAATCCAGGTTGACATTTGTAGGTGGAGTTCATTCTTTTCACTTTGCTATTTTGCTGTTTACTGACTGACGTGATTTTGTACAGGGTGGCTATGCATGCTTTTGTACCTATTGGTGCACTTGTGCAAATGTACATCAGTAGGACTTGGGCTGTGTGTCTCCAGCTTGACTAGTAGAACCAAATACAGTTGACCCTTGAACAACACGGGTTTGAACTGCATGGGTCCACGTGCTTGCAATTTGTTTTTGATAAACATAGTACAGTACTATAAATGTATTTTCTCAAGATCTTCTTAGTAATATTTTCTTTTTTGGGGGACCCTGTGTGGCTCAGTCGGTTAAGCATCTGATTTCGACTTAGGTCATGGTCTCGCAGTTTGTGAGTTCAAGCCTGGAGTCGGGCTCTGTGCTGACAGCTCAGAGCCTGGAGCCTCCTTCAAATTCTGTGTCTCCCTCTCTCTCTGCCCGTCCCCAGCTTGCGCTGTTCCTGTGTGTCTCTCTCTAAAATAAATAAATAGTGAAAATTAAAAAAATAGTAATACTTTCTTTTTTGAGGGGTGCCTGGCTGGCTTAGTCAGTTAAGCGTCCGACTTCTGCTCAGGTCATGATCTCACATTGAGTTCCTGAGTTGGAGCCCCGCATCAGGCTCTGTGCTGACAGCTTGGAGCCTGAAGCCTGCTTCGGATTCTGTGTCTCCCTCTTCTCTCTGCCCCTCCCCTGCGCTCTCTCTCTCCCCAAAATAAATAAACATTTAAAAAGTTTTTTAATGTTTTCTTTTTTCTCTCTGTCTCTCCCCTGCTCGCTCTCTTTCCAAAATAAACATTTTAAAAGTTTTTTAATGTTTTCTTTTTTCTAGCTTTAAGAATACAGCGTATAATACATATAACATAACAAAATATGTGTTAATCAGTTCTTTATGGCTTCTAGTAAGACTTCCTGTCAATAGTAGACTATTAGTAGTTAAGTTTTGGGAGGAATCAAAAATTATATTCAATTTTCGACCATTGTGGGAGTGGGCAGGGTGTGCACCCCATCCCCACATTGTTCAAAGGTCAGCTGTAGTGATCTCCAACTAGTCATACCAATTTATTCTTTTATCAGAAATGTAGGAGAATTTCAGTTGATCCACATTTTTGGTAAATCTGAAAGTTTTTTACCCCTAATCTGACAGAGATAAAATAGTTTCTTGTTGTGGTCATAATTTGCTTTCTTTGATTACCAATAAGATTCAAAACTTTTCAAATATTTATTAGCCATTTGTGTCACTTCTTTGCTCTTTTATGCTGATTAAAAATTTTTTTTAATGTTTATTTTTGAGACAGAGAGAGAGAGAGAGAGAGAGATAAAGAGTGGGGGAAGGACTGAGAGAGAGACACACACAGATTCCAAAGCAGTCAGTGCAGAGCCCAACGCGGGGCTTGAACTCACGAGTTGAGCCTTGAGATCATGACCTGATGCTTAATAGACTGAACCACTCAGATGCCCCTGTTCTTACTGATTTTTGAGAGCTTTTTGTATTAGTGTGGATAGCAATGCTACGTTTCCCAGTTTTTGACTTACCTATTTTTTTCTTTCTTTCTGTCTTTTATTCCCTTTCTTTTATTGGAAGGGGTTCCTTTATTACAGTTAAAATGCTTTCCCTTTTTGTTTAATATAGTTGAAAAAGTCAATTAAAAATCTCATATATAAGCATCTTTTCTTAAAACAAGCTCTTAAAGATATGTATTTAAAAACATAGTTTGTCTTAAATACTTAAAATTACTTCGTCTTTTAGAATTGAGTTCTGTATGTTGTCAGGGAGGTATCTAATTTCTTTTGTTTTTGTTTTTTTTTAAGTCGGCTCCACGCCTAGTGTGGAGACCAACACAGGGCTTGAACTCCCTACCCTGAGATGAAGAGTGGGATGCTTTAGGGCACCTGGGTGGCTCAGTCGGTTCAGCACAGATCATGTTAAGCTCAGTCACTCTTGGTTTCAGCACAGATCATGATCTCACAGGTTCATGAGTTTGAGCCTTGTTGGGCTCTGTACTGGCAGTGCAAAGATGCAAGTGCAAACACACACTCATTTGCGTGTTCTCTCTCTCTCTCAATAAGTAAATAAACTTAAAAAAAAAAAAAAAGAGTGGAGTGCTTAAGCGATTGAGCCACCCAGTGTTGTGAGTTTTGTTTTGTTTTCATTTCAATTGTCCCAGCATCATTTATTGGCGTCACCATGGGCAATAAACCTTCATCCCCCCCCCCCCAGGTTTTCCCATATGTGTGGGTCCGCTGAGCTCCCTCCTGTTCTATTGGTTTGTTTGTCTGTCCCTGCACCACTGGTACCCAGCTCTTCAGGACTGTGGCCCTGTGTTAATTTTTGATGTCTGGAGGGGCAAGGTTTTCTATTTTGATCACAATCGTATTGAATCTTTGGATTAATTTCAGGAGAAGTAACATATAAGGACAACTTAACTCTCCTTGACCTTCTTTGGTCTTACTAACATCTTTCCAAAAAGTTGCATCATTTTCTATAGAAGAGTTTTGATTTTAAAAATAAATTTCCTAGATAACCTTGTTTTGGTTGCTATTATAAATGATATGTTTAAAATTTTTATTTTTATTTATTTGTTTTGAGAGAGAGAAGCCCATGCATATACCTGGAGGTTCAGTTTTCCTATCTTTTGTTCATTATTATTGATATTTTTGGATTCATTTCTAAAGTCATTTTGTGCATCCTGTGTTCTGCTTTTTTGTTTATTTTTTCTCCTTTCTTGCCTTTTTTTTGAGTTGACTTTTCAGTTTTTTCCCTTATTCCATTTTATTCATTTGTATTAGTTAGTTTTTATTTTAAGTAGGCTCCATGCCCAGTGCAGAGTCCAACAT